CCAATCAAAAAGTAGTTACTCCCGATCGCGGCTCGCAACTGACATTTGGCCGGTCGTCTATTTTCCCGAGCCACAATCACAATCGCAGCCAATCATAGAACACCGTTACAGTTACACGACAAACGTCACAATGTTTGAATGATACTAGCATCACGACAAATTCGTTACTTATTTGTCGTATTGTCTGCATAATGACGTCGAAAAACGATTTCAAGGAAATAGATTACTGTTTAATAGGTCTCGTAGAGCCTAAAACGGTTCTGTAGAATTGCACGAGTGATATATACAAAAGAACTGATTTGAAGACTGCATGAAACCAAATAGCCAAAAAATTATGTCCAAATTTTACAGGTATGTTTCATAATGACATTAATTTATATCATTTATTTACTATAAAAAGTCTATATAATTATCAATATTTAATTAAAATTTTTGGTTATGTTGAAAAATAATAAATTATTCATTAAACATTGTACTGGTATTCTTCGCAGGTTTCACGGTGTCAAACCGCTTTAAACATATAAAGGATATATTTTTATGAAATATGAGAAATATGAAAAAATCAAAACGTAATAGATGTAGGTCAGAAAGAATATAAGCCGAAGTGGCACATATTTGATATACTAATGTTCTTGAAGGAAGCTTGTGTCCAGGGAAATTCTGTATCCAATATTCCCTCTCTAACATTAGAGGAAGTTGCAACTTCATATTCTGATGTATCGATGAAAGATGATTATACACCGAATTTAATAAATATAGATATTTGTTATGATGAAACATCACAGGTAAGTTGAAAAAAATCACTGTTAATGTAACAATGTATAGAAGTATTGTTATAATATAGATACGTGTTATTATAGGTCTTTGTAATAACTTTTATATTGCCGTTTAATTTTTTAATGAAATATGTCGAAATACTAATATGATGTTAAAAATAAAAACGCAAAAATTAATATTGTGCATATATGTAATTATTTTTTAGAAATTTAAGTTAGTGTCAGAGACAGTGGACGTGCAAATGAAGACTGACTTTATAAGTCAACAATCTCTTAACTCACATAGCGATTATGAAATACAATTGGTTGGACCTCTCTCCAGATCAAAATCTACTTCTGTATCCTGTAGCATAACCACTCAAGTTTCTGATGAAGTAAAAAATCTTGTTACTAAAAGAAAGGAAGCAGCAGAAGACATTTTGTTTTGTAAGATGCTTTAAACAAATTTTACTCATCAAATCCTTATTCAGTCTCATCTTAAACAGAAAATTCTTTTGATACAGCTCACACTCTTGCATTATTTGTAGAAATCAAGCTTCGTTCATTACCTCCAGAGATCCTCTAAAAAGAGTATGAAAACGACATTTTGAAACTGTTAATGAAGTATTAACTAGTCTTGTATCGAATTAAAATTGTTTTTTTATTGCATTGTGACGTGACGATTTTTAATCATCGTTTATCACTATGGAAAA